TCAGGTAAGTGAGGGATGGGTGGGAAGACAAGTGGGAGGACAGGATGCAGGGAGACACTAGGGTACACTGGTAGACATTGGGACACTGCGAAATATGGAGATTCTGGGAGACATGGAGAGATGGGGATCCAGAGAAATACTAGGAGACACTGAGATACTAGGAGACATGGGGACACTGAGAGACTGGGAGACACTAGGGGATACTGGGAGGGGGAGGGAGGGGACACTGAGAGAAACAGGGAGACACAGATTGGGGTAACAGGATGAGAGACAGATTGGTGAAGGCAAGTGTGCTCTATCGAGGTAACGGAAGTGGAAGAATACTTCCCGGTTGTATGAGTATGCACTTCTATAAACTATTATTTTCCTTAGATGGCCACTGGAGGTGCTTCCAGGGCAGTGCTGCACAGTGTGCAACACTGCCACTCAGCATCTCCACACTCTGCATGGAGATGCTAAACTTTCCTCATGGAGATTCATGTAAAATGTGAGGGGCATACCGAATGAGAAAGAAAAACTGACTCTAAATACAATTTCAGGCACAAAAACTTGCACTCAATATTGTGTGCTTTTTGCTACATGTTTGCATTTTGTAATTAGTTCATGTAAAGGTAGATTCTAAACTCAGTTTGTGGGCTGGCTCTTCAGAGCACTCGGCCTCATAGTTATTGTAGACATGTTACCATAGCGCGTTCAGGAGGTCATCCAGGAAACAGGTCAATCTAACCACCCACCTAGGAGCTAACCTACAGCCACCCTGCACAGCTACCTACTTAGCAGCTGACAAATGGCCACCCTGTATATCCCCACTTACCTCACATAAACTACAGTCATCCTGCATAACCCCACCCACCTTCCAGTCATTTATAGCCACCCTACATATCACTACCTACCTCCTAGTCACCCTGCATGTGCCTACTCAACTTCTAGTTACCTACTGTAATCCTCCACAGGCCTACTCACCACTCAGTCACCTACAGCCACCCAGCACATTCCTACTCACCTCTCAGTCACCTAGCATATGCGATTCTCATATAGTCAATGAATAACCATGAACTGTACAGATTGAAACCTAGATTACATAATATACGGTTATAGTTCATCTGGAAAAATTCTCCTATTCAGCTATAAGGGGGTGTACAAAGGGAGGGGCTCATATAACCACATCCACATAGGCAACTTAAAAAACCTGCAGCCTGGTGCAACTGACCCCTGGCTCACCCCCACCAAATTATTTTGGAAATGGTAACTCATATCCCAAAAGCGTATGAAGTAGCAATGTCATCTAACCAGCAAACTGAAATGGAGAGGATTACCATAAAATACCCTAACCTTCAAAACCATATAAATAAAAGATTCTTAGCATCAATTAAAAAATATAGTAATAAGGACTACATTTATGATGCATGATATGTTACCATAACAATATATGTGTTCAATTAGGAATGCACAAAACATACACAAAATGTTTTTTTAAATGTATTTATTTACAATATAGCAATATTTGTAACTAGGGATGTACCGAAATGAAAATACTGGGCTGAAACCGAAACCGAAAATTCAGGATGCCCTTGGCCGAAAACCGAAACCGAAAATGACTTTTTTCCCCAAATGATTTTTTTAAAGTTTTTTTATTAATATTAGTCTTTTTAATGAATTTAATTAATCTAATATGAAAAACTTCCCTTCTCTTTTAGTGGTCCCCCCCGCTTAATGTTCCTCTCTCCCCTCTCTAGTGTTACTCTCCCCTCCCTCTTTTTTAGTGTTCTTTACCCCCTCCTCCCCAGTGACATAGTGTTCCCCACCTCCCCTGTCCCATAGTGTTAGGCCCATTTTCGGCCGAAAATTTAGGCAGCCGAAATTTCGGTTCATCTCTATTTGTAATAGTGCCTACATGCAATCGTTTTCATCAGTTGTGGAACTAATGTAGAATTGCCCTTCCCCCTTATCAACCATTTGCCCATCCTTGCAGGGTTGTATTTAGCACTGAGCAGTGTTTGTGTATTTGGATGTAAGCATGGTTTTTATGGTGTATGTGTGAGTGAATGTGGGGGTGTATTATTTATATGTATTGTTGTGTTTGTATGTACTGTTTCCATTTAAAAGCAGTGGTTTACTTGTGTGTAGTGTATGACTTTGAGTGTAATAGTGTGTTTATATGTAGTGTTGACATTAGTATTTTCATTGCTGGGCACCTCTTGTTTTCTTTAATTCCTGACATTTTGAGATTCTGAATGACAGGCCACTGATGACATGGTCTTCAAATAAAGAGCTGTTACTTCTCAAAAAGAAAAACTACTTTCCGAGGTTTCTGAATCTAGATCCCGTGTCTGCAACAAGAAATGAGATGTAATTAGTTTGGCATCATACGGCATTGTCTACGTCTTACGTATAAATACAAATGTGCAGTTTATAATGGTCACAGTAATGGCGTGGAGATGTGAAATCAGTTCTTGTTTAAATGGAGCCCACTCTGGGAAGTGATTACTGGTGGATCAAGGAATTGGTTTTCATGTTGTGGTGGTGGAATTATTATTGTGTAAAATCCCTCCTCAGTTTGTAAATACTGATTATTTGTGCACTTACTAGAAATGCCAAGAATGGACAGCTCACTTCCCCCCTCTCTAGGTCTTCCCAATTAATGTCTCTGTAGAAGGGGTGCACCCGAATGTGCCTCCCCATCACACCGCGTGTATAAGTGTCCTTATCCAGGAGCTAGTAAGAGAAAGAGAAGATAAACAGAGTATAATACACCTATTTTGTGATATCTCTAAACTGTAATATTTTGATGTACGTTAACACAAACTAAATGCAAACACCTCTGCTGAAGGAAACCATTTTACCCTTCTAGCAAATTCCCAAACGAGGCAGTGCTTGTGAAAAGCTTGTTGTAAATTATTACATTAACAAAAAGCTACATTTTACTACCGAGATGCAAATCTAATTATTTATAACGATTTCCTCTTATGTCATCCAGTAGGAATACAAAATGACTGCTTTATTTGTCTGGTAGATAGTAATAAATATAACATTTTGTAAATTGAATATCTACGTTTTCATCTGCCATCATTATTAAATATTAGCATTAACCATTTAATCATCAGCATTTCAATATTTTCAGACATTTCAACCCACCACTCCATGCCGCTATCAAACCTGTGCAATAAGGGTAATTGGCATCAAGGGGGAAATCTGAATCTGCTCAGCACTGGAACATAACAAGTCATTTTCCATAAATATAACCAGTATCTATTCCCAGTAACGTCCCCATATCTCCTCCAGGCTTCTTTACAACCCCTTTTATAACATCCATTATTATTATATCCACTTAAAACATTAATGGGATTCTATAGTGTGAGGAATACAAATCTGATTCCTTACACTATAGTACCCTCTGGCTTCCTCGCGCCCCCCTCCACCCAGCAAGTGAAGGGCTAAAAAACCTTTAATCACTCACTCTGCCTCCTCTGACATCATCTGACTGAGGGACCTAATATGATATCCTCAAAAACTGAAATGCTTTATATTGCAGGACTAAGTGGGACATGGACATTGCACCCAAACCACCTTAATGAGCTGAAGTGGTCTGGGTGCGTATAGTGTCCCTTTAACCGGCACATTCTATATTACCTTACAATATATCTGCTCCTATGACAGCCTATTCCTTACCTTGTTCAAAAGATCTTTAGGATCACTCCACAGCCAGGTTGGGTAGCATGGGTTAGAGCTCAATACTTTCTTTATATACTCCACCCTGCCTAGCTTCTTATTAAAGGGATACTGCCCGGTGATCATGCGGCAGAGAATTATGCCAAATGACCACCAGTCTGCTGGTTGACCGTACCTTTTGTAGCTTAGTATCTGTCAAAACATAGAAGATATGTCATTTTATCAAATATGGTATTACATGTTTCATAATTAACCTATTTCTACTCAGTGTTATTCTCAAAGACTCCAAACCTGTTACAGTCTATCTAACAACTTTTCATATAGTCCCCATCATTTTCTTCCAAAATTAGTTTAATCTCATTCCTCTCAGTCCATCCACTAATAGTCCAATATTGCCCTCATACTCAGCTCGTGTTACTCATCCTCCTACCGCTCATAAAACACCCCATAACCCATAACCCTTTACTACTCCAACCTACCCCATCTAATTACTCTTCTATTGCTCTTATACCACTCCACTTAACTCCACCCCCTATGGCTCACATAACCGCACCCTTTAACTAACCTCTGGTGCCATGTAATGCGGTGTTCCAGCTAGTCCTTTGGTGGTGGTATGTGTAAAAATATTCTCTTTTGAGAGGCCAAAATCGGCTATTTTGACACAGCCCTTGGCATCCAGGAGAATATTGCCTGGCTTCAGATCCCTAAATAATGAAAACAGATATAAATGTGAGATAAAGGAGAGAGCAAAAATATACACACAGAATTTCTCTTTAGAGTACATTAGCGCTTTCGTAAGAAACAAACGCTTATACTGACCCATGAAGTATCCCGCAGGAATGGAGAAATTGGATCCCACAAACAAGGCTTGCTGAAAAGAACCTGGAAAAAAAGAAATAGAGCATAAAGCAATCTGTAACAAACATTAATAATAAATAAAATATACCTGGACAGGGTACACACTCTGCTACAAATGTACACATAACATTTTCAACCATTTAGAGAGTTTACTTTATTATCATTTATATTATTAAAACTATCTTTTTAAAAATAATAATTTGTAAACCTGATCCCTAGAATGGTTTTACTCTATAATCACCCGTGTGGTGGAGGTGAAAGACTGTCTCTTGATATGTTACCCATTTAACCCTTTTAAGTTCTCTGCCACAAAACACTGACAGCTCTACAATTCTTTGAGTCCCTTTCAGTTTGTTAGATGTACAAATCAATAATCTATAAATACATGAATTTATTCAGAAGAGCCACGGTAATAGAAATGTGTATTTAAAGCAATATGCACTGTGTAAAAGGAGGTACACCCTGAAGTCAGCTTATGGTTGCAGCAGGTCAACTGACCCATAGCGGCTCTTGATCTACCGTCAGTCCATACAGAACGTATTCTGCTGCAGGACCTGGGTTTCTTGTATTGCCCATTGTCTGGCTGATATTGAAGTGGGAATTCTGGTTTAGTACATTAGTATTAGTCCAGTGTTTTCCCCTAATCGATCTCTATGGATAGCAGTATTATAGAGGGTATATGTAAATATGGGGGTACCTCCATCGCCTCTTACATTTCACCCCCTCCTGCTAGAGCTTTTGATGACTCACCTTGCTTGAGCCAGGGGCAGACTTTCCCTCCCAGTCATGTAGGATTTGAGAGTACCCCCTGGTACGTACTCCATGACTAGATAGGCGTGCTCCTATTTCAAAAGAGAGACAACAAATATCCAGTAAATATATACTGCAATAATGATAACAGAACACAATCAGCCATATAGAAATAAGAAAACATTATGGACACAGAGTTTCATACCTGGGACTGGAAGGCAGCGAGTCCCTGACATAGGAAGGGAATGCCGCTCGCCATTTGCAGTATCCGCTTCTCTTTCTGAATCTCCTTTTCCTCAACTCTATCTTTGTCTATTTGTTTAATAGCGACATACTTGGTGGGACATTCCTTGGTGGAAGCAAGCATCACCTGAGCATCACAGAGAGAGAGAATCAAAAACCTTATATCAGCAACAATCTCGCAAAAGAAGGTAGGAATTTCAGCTACTTTTTCATTTAAATCTTCATTTAAATAGTGGACACACATTTCCAATATCACTTTCTAGCATCGTTTCAACACCACCTGGGATGTATTTGCAGGGTAACCTAACAGAGCTCAATTTAATATTTTTGGATAAACTTTGATAATCAAATGATCACAATCTGCTAGAAAAATATTTATAAATTGTCTACAAAAATTTCCTACAAACTGTAATGGTGACGTCTGTAGAAAAATTATTTTAAAAAAGTTTTTCGCTGACATTGAGATCATTTGAAAAGCTTATTCAACCATATTAAATCGAGGCCTATGTCGGCAATTCTGTGTTATTATATTTTCCACATTCGTATACCATACGCATGACAAAGATTAATAATAAATTAAATCCCAGTGAATTGTTTTAGAAATACAATGATGAGCATGAGAAGTTGTAATTGTTCTCCACTAGATCAATAGATGTATTAAATAAGATGTATACATTGCTCGTAGACTCACCTTTCCGAAGCCCCCTTGTCCCAGCACTTTGTGGAATCGGTAACCGGAGATTGTCAGAGGTAGTGGCTTTTTTGGTTCTACCACAGACTGTCTACTTTCTCCTTAAAGGTTTAACACAAATAATAATTATTCTCCATTTCATCATAAACACAGGAACACGTTTAATTACCCCAGAACCGCTTTACAAATCTTCCCATCCCACCCAGTTATATGAAACAGTAATATGGTTTGTAATTGTTCTGGAAAAATTGATTAAAAATATATTACAGCTTGCAGTCTATTCCCCATGAATACTGTCGGCTATTTCAGAATGTATGAATAAATATTCTAGATGTATCAAAGGTTTTGAAATATTGGTCTATGCCATTACTTTCTAGTTTAAATCATCTCCTGAACACTTAAAGGGACACTCTTGGCATCGTGGCAATGACCGCTTCAGTCATTGCCACGCATGGGCATAAGGTCTCCCACACCAGCTGACGACAGCAGGTGAGGAGTGGAGGCGGAGCCTGAAACTGCCCCGAGGTACGTCAGCGCTGGAATCAGGTAAGTGACAGAAAGGATTTTTAACGAAGGAGGGAGTCACTATAGGGAGCTATAGTGCCCGAAAAACAACTTTTGTTTTCCTGGCACTATAGTTTCTCTTTAAGGTAGTTGAAGTGTGGAAATATTAATTAAATAGAGAGTGAATGCGTACAGCAAGTGGTCAATTGAGAGCAAAATCTCTCATATTTTAAATTGACCAGTCTATTTAAAACTTGTATGTTCATCTTACCTGTACCACATTCATTGTCACTCGTTGGCTCATTTGCTTCCTCTTTCTTTCGCTCACTTTTCTGATCCAGTTTGGCAGATGAGGAGAGCTTTGGTCTTTTCCGCATGAGCTGCTCCCCTCGATCGTATTCCCTGCTTCGTTTCAGGGCTTGCTTTCTGGGTGGAGATGTCTGACCGTTCTTTCCAGCAGACTTTCTCTCACTTTTCTGACCCAGTTTGGCAGATGAGGAGAGCTTTGCTCTTTTCTGTATGACCTGCTCCTCCTGATCATGACTGGAGGTCCTGTATCGTTTTAGGCCCTGATCTCTGCTACGTTCCTCAGCAATGAACCGTCTCTTGGGTTCTCTCCCTCTCTCAATATCCTGCTCATTGCAGCTTCTGCTTCTCTTTCTGCTGGAATGTCCAAGAGATATCTGCTGTTTTGAGCCGTTATTGAGTTTTCTATACTTTTGTATTAATTCGTCAGGAGTTTTCTGACTGTCCTCAGTTTTCTTCCAAGAACGTTTTCTTGTTCTCTTCATGCTTATATTATACTGTGTGAATCTATTGCTTTCAAATTCACAAATGTATTTAGCAATCAGCTAACTGATAATAGTAATAATCAATAAATGATTGAAAATATCACTCGAGCAATGCAGTAGCCACTGTCCACTCGCAAAGTGTCTAGACACTCTAAGTGTAGGTGAGTTTGACATTGATTGTTTCATCAGATGATGTCAGAGTGTGTATGATGTCACAGTACCTGACCATATATGGAGATATGAACCGGTCAGTAATGGGGAAACTAATATTATATTATCCCTGTTTTAACTTCAGATAGACACATGTATGGGTTATCTGAGTGTTCCAATAATGCTGCACTACAACTCCCAGAATCCCCATCCAACAGTGAGCTGAGAATCGTGGAAGAAATCTCTTTTGGTTATTTCTGTTCTGTTGGGGTGACAGGTTGATGTGACACTTATACCTGTTTTTTTTCAATAAATAATTAAATAAACCAATCAATAAATAATTAAGGTACCATACAGATCCCTTCAGTCTGTGTTGTGAAAGTTGCATTTCTCCAATAACTACTATCTGACATATACTAACAGCACTCCTCCTCCCCACCCTCCCCCCCCCCCACCACCACCACTCCTGTTTATTATTTTACATTAAACCCCTTTTGGTGCTACCAAAATAGTGACACCTAATCACACACACACGCCTCCCGCCCCATAAACACACATAAATACATCCAGTGATATAGACAAGTACAGACACACTGACACCAACATCACACACACATCTAGATTGAATCCAAAAATGACTGATATTTATTATTATTTATGTATTAGAAATATGATTTTTCCATAGGTGATCAGTTTGGATTTGTAATCAAAGTTCATTTTAGAAAGAAGTAGTGACGTGTACTAGCGCTTATTTTAAAAGAGGATTTTCCAATTGTGTGCTTTTAAAGTTCATTTTAGCTACAATGTTACCGCTTGTTGAGAACCCTAAATTCTCAGGACCAATAGAAAATTTCTGAAACCGTGGAAAACTGCAGAAAATGAGAAATGCCACAAATGTTGCACCTAGAGGGGTATTAGATGTGCTGCAAACCTTGCTCTGCTACTAGTCCCTTTCTGTGCTCCGTGTCTAAACCAGGAACTACTAACTACTCATCAGCGTCTAATGAGTAGGTAATGGCTAATCATATAAATAAAAGCAGAAAGCAACGGAAATTCTAAGTTATGGCTTATAGTGATCATTTGGTTTAAAAGTCCCATTGTCCTGCTGCATAGGAGAGGATACAAATAGTGTTAATATATTATTTCTTATAAGTGGGTTGATCAGGGTGGAAGTCAGTTTACCTCTACAATTTAGTGTGCCGAGGAGAGGGCTAGTTTGTATTTATTGGGTTTCGACTAAATAATATTCTGGTGACCCTCTCTCCTTTTCTTCTATTGTTATCTATATTTGGGAACATGCGCTGGCAGGGGATGAGGACGATTCTTCATTTTATTTTGCTTTAAATAGACACGGTAACAACTGCAAAAATATAACACCTGCAAAATGGCACTTTTATGAAAAAAAAATGTAATTGTCGACAGAATTCTCCCTTTGGTAATCTCCTGTACAGCTTGTATATCTTGCAGAGTTCAGTCAGATTCACGGGACAGTGAATCTTAACTTGTTAAGAATACATCTTAGATCTTGGATTTTTCAAAAGACTGAGAGTAATAGAAATAGAGTAAAAATATACAGAGGCAGAATATTTCTATTTATCGATCAAATTTTTCAAAAGACTGAGAGTAATAGAAATAGAGTAAAAATATACATAGGTAGAATATTTCTATTTATCGATCAATTCTTTCATTCCTCCTTTCATTCTCCTTTCATTCACCACTTCCTGAACGAACCTCTGCTGCTTTTCTGTGATATTGCATAATTATTATTATTATTTTATTATTTATATAGCGCCAACAAATTCCGTAGCGCTGTACAATGGATGATATGTATTATTACTTATTGAAATCATTATGAGTTAGTTGAATCAGATGGAGCAGAAGGTAATGTTTTTTTTTTTTAGATGCTCTAATAAAATGAATAATTGGGCTTTCCCCTGTAATTCCATATATGATCATGGAAGACACCAGAGAGATCTTACAGAGGAGTCTATGCTCTCAGTACCGTTATTAATCACTAGTGTATAATTTGTGAATTGGAGTGTTCCTTCAACCTGTGAGCTGAGAACTGAGGAAATCGTAATTTCATAATCCTGATCATGTCTATAAATACAGAAATGTAGAAAAGGGAGCTTGAATTTGGAAAAAAAACCATGATAATAGTTATGAAATCATGCTCTGTTTGATTTTCCTCTCTTTCAAAGTGCAGTCTAACCACTACAACATCTCACTGGAGTGATTATAGTGCCAGCATGTCCCTTATACCATTTGCCAATTTGATGTCAAACCATTTCCAAATATCTTGGTACCAACCGAATGTTCCACCCCCCAAGTTCGCTTAGCATAAGGCTAATGTGGCTGCTTTTTCAATGCAGGCATCATGTTGCCATCACGGGGAGAAGCACTGTAATTTGGAAAATTTCACTATGCTCCCCAAAGGTCTATTTAGTAGAAGAGATGCAGGGGGTAAGGAAGTGCGTGGTCTGTCTTTCTATATCAGACCAGGGATGATAAAAGCAAAGGAGGAAAAGTGTATTAATATCTCTTTGTTAATTCCTTCAGGACATAACACGTATTGATAAGTCAAGTTACTGCTCAGTAATGACCAACAATGTGCTGATAGCTCTTGGAGTTTTAGAGACTGTAAGTGCTAGATCCAGAAATACTCGATACTTGGGACTCTCCTCTACCAGTTGGGGTCATATATAGTAATCAGGGTTTGTCCATGGCTGGGGTTGGAGTAGGGTTATAGTTGGTGTAGTGTTAATATCTGTGCAGGGTTTACGTTTGTGTACATTTGGAACTGGGATTTAGGGATTTTTATGATTAGAGATAATGGAATACATGTCTTAAATATACCATGGACTGCAGATCCCATGATCCAAAGCCAGGCAAAGCCTATGTTATTAAGTAATTGTTAGCCACCGTTAACATTGTCATTAACTTAAGAACCTGTTGAGAATAACTCCCTTCACTCTCAGGATACAGATGAAACTATATTGAAAGCTGGTATTTTTATTGTGGTAGCCAGCTGTATAATTGTAGTTTATTGGGTTTTAAGAGAGTACTTTCTTAGCTCCCTAACCATAAGCCATCATCTAGTAATTTAATTACATAGGACTATGGAACAAAGTTCACTTTACCCCATGTTATTACTATGCCTTGTACAACAATAATGACACAAAATACACAATATATCTGTGGAGTAGATTGAATTCATGATATGAATTACTGATCTCTCTCACAAGCATTGTGAGTGAGGGTGGTCCTTCACGTATTTTTATATCATTGGATTTTCATAAGAAACAATAATTTGTCTCCCAATGTAAATTATGTGTCAAAAAAACACGAACATAAAAATATACACTGCTCAAAAAAATCAAGGGAACACAAAAATAACACATCCTAGATCTGAATGAATTAAATATTCTTCTGAAATACTTTGCTCTTGTTATTTACAGTTGAATGTGCTGACAACAAAATCATACAAAAATTAAAAAAATGAAAATCTAATTTTTCAACCCATGGAGGTCTGGATTTGGAGTCACACTCAAAATTAAAGTGGAAAAACACACTACAGGCTGATCCAACTTTGATGTAATGTCCTTAAAACAAGTCAAAATGAGGCTCAGTAGTGTGTGTGGCCTCCACGTCCCTTTATGACCTCCCTACAACGCCTGTGCATTCTCCTGATGAGGTGGCGGATGGTCTCCTGAGGGATCTCCTCCCAGACCTGGACTAAAGCATCTGCCAACTCCTGGACAGTCTGTGGTGCAACGTGACGTTGGTGGATGGAGGGAGACATGATGTCCCAGATGTGCTCAGTTGGATTCAGGTCTGGAGAACGGGCGGGCCAGTCCATAGCATCAATGCCTTCGTCTTGCAGGAACTGCTGACACAGTCCAGCCACATGAGGTCTAGCATTGTCTTGCATTAGGAGGAACCCAGGGCCAACCGCACCAGCATATGGTCTCACAAGGGGTCTGAGGATCTCATCTCGGTACCTAATGGCAGTCAGGCTACCTTTGGCGAGCACATGGAGGGCTGTGCGGCCCCCCAAAGAAATGCCACCCCACACCATTACTGACCCACTGCCAAACCGGTCATACTGGAGGATGTTGCAGGCAGCAGAACGTTCTCCACGGCGTCTCCAGACTCTGTCACGTCTGTCACATGTGCACAGTGTGAACCTGCTTTCATCTGTGAAGAGCACAGGGCGCCAGTGGCGAATTTGGCAATCTTGGTGTTCTCTGGCACATGCCATACGTCCTGCCCTCACTTGTGGGCGTCGGGCCCTCATACCACCCTCATGGAGTCTGTTTCTGACCGTTTGAGCAGACACATGCACATTTGTGGCCTGCTGGAGGTCATTTTGCAGGGCTCTGGCAGTGCTCCTCCTGTTTCTCCTTGCACAAAGGCGGAGGTAGCAGTCCTGCTGCTGGGTTCTTGCAATCCTACCGCCTCCTCCACGTCTCCTGATGTACTGGCCTGTCTCCTGGTAGCGCCTCCATGCTCTGGACACTATGTTGACAGACACAGCAAACCTTCTTGCCACAGCTCTCATTGATGTGCCATCCTGGATGAGCTGCACTACCTGAGCCACTTGTGTGGGTTGTAGACTCCGTCTCATGCTACCACTAGAGTGAAAGCACCGCCAGCTTTCAAAAGTGACCAAAACATCAGCCAGGAAGCATAGGAACTGAAAAGTGGTCTATGGTCACCACCTGCAGAACCACTCCTTTATTGGGGATGTCTTGCTAATTGCCTATCATTTCCACCTGTTGTCTATCCCATTTGCACAACAGCATGTGAAATTGATTGTCACTCAGTGTTGCTTCCTAAGTGGACAGTTT